TCTCTACTAAATTTTCCTTTTCATTGCAGGTAAGTCTCCTTTTGTTCATGCAAATATCTTTAAAAAAATCTGGCATATTTTGGTTCTTTTTGGATTACATCTAGATGTGGTGTATTAATTTCTACCTTTCGAAAAACATCAAGAATATTCTTTTCCTCATCTTGTTTTTCGTGATTTACTAACCTCGAGGGAAAAGGATGTTGCGTGGCATAGGGAGATAGCATGGGAAAAAGTTGTGAGTCATATTTCTTTTTCCTTCGGGATTTCACGTCAATTTTTTCATTTTTTCTAGGATCTTGATTCTTCTTTTTCTTTATTTGATTCTGTGGTAACTTCTTTAGGGATTGGTGTGATAATAGTGCCACTTCGAATGGTGATGGCACTAACATTTTTTCATGGGTTCGTCTTAGTTTGAAATGGTAGTTTTCCTGTGATTCCATTCATCCCACGGTCTGAGCCAACTGACTCAATGGTTTTTCAAGCTCTTAAAATTGAGTTTCAGTTCTATTATGAAATTATTCTTTAGATATCGCCAAACGTTTGATGATGGAGTCCAATGATGATTATGGCGGTTGGCACTGTTGGGGTGGAGGTAGCCTCGATTGATATGCTTGGTTTGGCCTCGGGTTTTGCCCATAGTTGAAATTTAGATGGCCTCTCCATCCCGGATTATATATATTTTGTGTTAGAGTTATATTGTCTCTGGAGAGGTCCTGAAAAGTTTTCAACTGCATTAACTTGTACGGCATTGTTATCTTGTAACATCAGACAACAATCCATGAGATGGTCCGACATTGTGCATATACCTGTTTTGCCTGCAACAAGAGATTGAACAATATCATCTAATTTATTAATTTTATTCTCCAAATAAGTTGTACTTATCTCATGAACTCGTCGAGTGGGTTCACTCGTAAAGCCAAATTGTTAATAGTTAGCAGCCATAGTTGAAATCAGATTTCTGGTTGCATGTGGAGTCATATTAATGAGTGTTCCTCTCCTAGCTGCGTCAAACATCTTCAACTCCAAAGGAAGTAATCCATCATAAAAGTATTGAAAAAAGTGTTTATTCTAACAGTCTATATTGTAGGCAACTACCGCAGAGTTTCTTGAACTGTTCCCAGTAGTCATATAATGATTCTCCATTTATTTGTTGTACTCCTAAGATTTTCCTACTTAATTCACTCACTTTTGTTGCAGGAAAAAATATGTCAAGAAAAAGACAATTCATATCAGCTCATATATTAACAAAATTAGGAGGTAAAATGAATAATCAATCCTTAGCCGAGTCGGCTAAAGAAAAATGAAAAATGCAGAGTTTAATTTGATCATCAGATACTCCCTATGGTTTCATGCTAGAGCAAACCAGATGAAACTCAGTAAGATGCTCGTGAGAACTTTTGTTAGGCAGTTAATGGTAAGTAGGTAAAAAAAAAATGGATTAAACCCATTTTCAGCTCAAACGGTGTTTCTCCATGAGGGAATGCGATGCATAACAGTTGTTGTTCGACAGATGTTGCAGCTAATTCTCATATTGTTTGTTGATCCATTGGAATTGATTCTCAAAGTCTTCTTCGGCGTCAGAGAAGGTTTCAGCATCCAAAGGTATCTCCGGATTAAGTCATGGATTGGATTTGGATTGTTGTGATTGTTGTTGTTGTTACCACCTTTCTTGTAGTGTTCATGAACGTATTATTCGAGATAGTGCTTCAATCTCAGGTACCTAATATGCTAGTTCACCTGGATTTTCCCTAGTTATAAATGAAAAATAAATTTTAATCAAGAATTTTTTCGGGATCTCCGGTAACGGCGTCAATTTGACAAGCATCATAATTATGAAATAATTAATCCTTTTTCTCGGATAATTATGCTAAGAACGTAGTATAAGGAAGAAGGATATCGGTCCACAGGGATTCAGAAATTTCTATTATCAATCTGAATTGATCTTTAACCAAGAAATCTGTAAAATAATAAAATAAAAAAATAGAGGGTTTAAAATAATCAAATAAACTAAATAAAATTAAAGTAAAGTAAAGTAAAAGCAATAAGAATAAGAAATATAAAGTGTAGAAAATTAATTAAGATGAGAAATAACCTTAAGCTTCACTTTGCCTCAATTATTCTCAATCACTGAAATAGATTTTACTTCAGATACTTGTCGGTTACATTCTACAAGGCCCAACCCTTGTAACTTGCTCTTCTCTCTGGTGAACTAATTTCCAAAGTCAATCCTTGAAATTTATACCTTGTTTGGATTAATATCGACTATCAATATTAACGCCAATATTGATTTAGGAACTGGAAAAACCCGCACTTGGATAATGGTATCTCGATCAAAAATCGAACCCGATCTTGATTTCCCTTAGTGAATCATCGTTAAGTTTGTTCTTAGGGAATTAAATTTGCTATAAGCCAACTCTCATCCTCAACTATAGATCAAAACATCGATCAAGCCAATGTGCACTCTTTGGATTGAAGATATTGAGATGCTTGAAGAAAAGACGATTGTCTCTTCTTGTCTGTCGAAAATCAGGAAAGAATCTATAGATGTGTGAAAAGCTTTTGCAATTCTCATGAGATCAGATCGAGTCGTAACTCAACTATCGGCTAAGAAAAAGTTTAGCCAAGCATGGTAGAGATCATGCTTGGTGTGTAGAAAGAAAGAATATGAAGAAGAAAATTATTTTTATTAAACTGAAAACCTAAAACAAAGAAAAGCCAGAATCAGTTCTATATTGAATTCTAAACTTGTACATCTGTCAAGCTTCACCCTGACGGGTATTTATAGCTTTGAGATAACCTAATGAAAATAAAATACTAACTCTCAAGAAAATTAAAACTCTTAAATTCCTAATAAATAGTAAATTAAAAATCCTAATAATAAATAATTAAAATCCTAATTGAAATTCTAAGCAAACAAAAATCCTAATTAAATAAATAATAAAATCTAATATGTTTGAATTAAATTACAACTTTTAATTCCTAAGAATTATGGTTCGCCTTGATTTCCTCTTTTAATCATGTTACTTAGATTATTTAATCAGAGTTTGCGCCTAGATCGATCTTTGAATATGAGTTGGCAACGACTTCTCCCCAAAAAAATGAAAATCTATTTAATTTGCCTTTTAGTTATTATTTTCTAGAAAATCGAGTCTTGCACATATTAGAGTAAAAAAAACTCAAATTAACACTATAAAAAAAGCTAACACTGAGAAAACACTTAGGTGGCGTTTGGTTCGCATGAATCCCTTGGAATTAGGGAAGATTGAAATCCAATTTTACTACTTTCCCATGTTTGGTTCAAGTTTTCCAAGGGAATTGGAATCTTTCATGGCTTCAACTTTCCATCAAATGAGGGAAAGTGAATTTCATCAATTCTATGATGGAATTCAATTCCCTTGTTGGAGGGAATTGAAATTTGATCATACTACCCTCATCAATCTTTTGGTAACTTATTCATATATTGAATAAAAATATTTTTTTTTATTTTGGGTCGGGTCGGGTCGAGTTCGAGTTTAGGGTGAAAAATACCTGACCCGAAAATATATATAATTTTACCTTATATATTTAGGAATAATTACAATAATGCCCCTCTATATATAATTTTTTTTAATTAAGTCATTGTTTTTATTGAATAAAAATAATTTTTTTTATTATTTCGGGTCGGGTCGGGTCGGATTTCTAATTCATAAATTCGGATCGGGTCGGGTGAAACTTTATTTTGGTCGGTTCGAGTCGGGTTTTTTTAAGTGTGATATTCGGGTCGGGTCGGGTTCGGGTTTAGGGTGGAAAATACCCGACCCAAAAAATATATAAGTTTACCTTATATATTTAGGAATAATTACAATAATACCTCTCTCTCTATATATTTTTTTCAATTAAGTCACTGTTTTTATTGAATAAAAATAATTTTTTTATTATTTCGGGTCGGTTCGGGTTTCTAATTCATATATTTGGGTCGGGTCGGGTCTCGAATGGAGGTTCCCTTGTTCTCGGGTCGGGTCGGTGGATCAAACACCCGACCCAACCCGACCCATGACCATCCCTAATTAGGATGATTTTAACTTATGATGTTTATTAGCATGATTTTTATAATTTATTGAAATGAATAATCAATCAATCAATAAAATTAAATTTTAATTTTAATTTTTTTTAATTTTTATAATATATTACTACATGTAATTTATAAAACAAATTAAAATTAAGCAAAAAAAACAATTTAGGGCAATCCTGTCATTTTACATTCCTGAAATCAAATTCATCTGACATGTCTGCGAACCAAACAGAATATGGAATTGAATTCCAATTCAATTTCCTGCCAACCAAACATAATATGAAATTGGATTCCAATTCCTGACAGATTTCAATTCCTTCACATATTCCAATTCCCTCAGAAGCATTCTAGCGAACTAAACGCCACCTTATAATTGGTGCAAACGAGTTTTATCATCAATTGCAACTAATAATTTATTAATAATATGTTTTTATATTTTTATATAACAATGATGCTTAAATAAAAATAATTTGCTCGGCTGATTCAGCCCTTGATTTGCTCTTCATTGGCCTCTCTATCAGGGGATTCATTGGTCAACTTTTTCACACTACCTGTTTTAATTTGTTTTCTTAATACTTGTCTTTTAGTCCATGAGAATAATTATTTTAATTTGTTTGATATAAACTATTATGAAGTACATTGATTTTTTTTTCTTAAAAATTCTGAAGGACCGTTAAACCAATAAAAAAAAGGAGAGAGACGGGATTAAATTCGAAAACAAAATGGCGACAACTAAATTTGTGCCGCTTACAACGGTGCTCCCACGTGGTTCCACCGCCCACATTTCACATTTCTCTTCAAACCAAACAACTAAAATCCATTTATTTTCATTAATCTCACTCTTTTTACGCGTATCAATCATCAAACGCTCGAATATATAGAGGCAACCATAACATCTCAAAATCAGTCAACTGCTAGGCATTGAACAAAACCTTGATCATTTCACAACCCTACAAAATAACTTTCCCAGTGTTTTCTCGTACCAGCTTTGCTAATTTGCTGCAGATGAAGCAGTCGACAATGACGAAGAAAAACAGCGATGGTGCTGCGCAAAGAGCATGGAGGCTACTGCGTCTGTTATTGTTATGGACGAGAAAAAGTGGGGTTTTCAAGAGACGGCTTGTAATGGAGCTAAGATCGGTGCCGAAGTTCCTCAAAGGTCTCGGACATGCCACGGCGGCTTCCCCTCATCAAATCAATTTCAACGAACGACAGCTCTCCTTCGATGAGACACCCATCTTCCATGTCAAGATGCACCGTCCAGCTTCCATGCGCTTCCTTCTTCCTTGCATTAGCCCCGAGGAAGTGGATTTCGATTACGACTTCGGCATCGATGGAGATGACGGGGTTTACAGGTACGATAGTGGAAGCAAGAGCAACTCAACGGGAGAACAAGGAAGACAGAAAGAGGCAGAGCGTGGAAACGACAAGAGTCCCTGTCCGCCAGAGGAAGAAGGGATTGATTCCAAGGCGGATAAGTTCATAGCACAGTTTTATGAGCAGATGAAGTTGCAGAGACAGATTTCTTATTTGGAATACACTGAAATGCTTAACAGAGGCGCTAGTTAGTTGAATCTTGTAGTTGAGGACGAGCCTGCATTCTTTTCTACGTGCATTATTCTGCATATTCTACAACTTTTCCATTTTTTTTCCTTCGAATTTGCGGCTTTTACAGAGATTCCTTTTTAAGAGATGATCAGACACTGCGGGAGTTTAATTTTTGTCAATTACGAGGATTTAAGTGTGTACGAATTCATCAATAAGACTCACTTTTTATATACTTTAAATATTTTCTTTATAATTTATATAGTTGATAAGATGTTTTTATCCCCCAACAACTTTATAGGTTCCCATTTAATATAAAATTATGTGTCTTTCTCCATATTTATACGTATATTGAATACATTAGAGACAAAATCAATCATGTTTCATCACTAGAAAAAGGGAAGTGGCCCATACTAATATTGCCAACCAAAATATAAATAAATATCCCTTCATGCATGCCTCCACAATGGCCAAAGTAAACTAGAAATGAATAATAACTTGAAACAGTTGATACACAATAAGTTTACATTATACAGTTCGCAACATTTCCAAAGAAAATTATTGGCCGACAGCTGTCGTGTCCCAAACCCTAACTGGCTATAACCCCATGATTTCCATCCAATAATAAAGGGGCTTACACAACACAATACAAGCAGTCGATTATTTGATGTTATTTTACACTTATTGCCACGACTTTATATGTGCTAACAATAGTAGCAATTAGATCCGGCTGACCCGAACCGGAAACAGGTACAAGGTTTAGTCTCTAGAACAGATTCTTTCTCATGGTGAAAGCAAATCCTCTCAGTCAAGCTTGCCAGTTGCTACCTTCTTTATATATTTGATTTTCAACAAGGTGATTACCTCGTAAAACTGATTCGGATGTATCATTATAACTTTGTGAATCAGCTTCCATTCTGATGCCTGTTAAGATATTCTTCCAACATAATACAAGACCTATAATCCCAAAGGCATGTATATCTCATTTTGAATGTTAGAAGACAAATGTCAAATCATTCAAATTCATGAAATATTCCTTATAGAAAGAGTGAATGTTGTTTATGATGAATTAGAAAGGTGCAGAGTAAAGTAGTAAGGGGAATGTTAGTGTATGATGTTAGTATGTGTCATGTATGCATGGATTAGTTATATGTATGATCATGCATGTGCAATGTACGTGAGGTGGTTAGAGTTTTCTTAACAAACTCTCTCTCTCCTCTAACGTCCTAACGTTCTTTCCCTCTCATTTTATATTTCTTAATAATGTTGTATAAATAGCCTGAGGCTATTGCTATAGAATTCAATGTTTTACAAATGAATGAAAGCAATAATTCATGGCTTTTATGTGTGTTGATTCCTGAGCTGTGTTGATACTTTAACATGGTATCAGTCGCCAGGGCTGGTAGCCTTTTCTTTGCTCGGTTCTTGCTGCGTGTGGTTGTCTACAATGGAGATCTCTTCAGTTCAGCACATTCCCAAGCAAGATGTGGTCAAGCTTTCTGAGAGCACTTACCTGCTGTGGAAACATCAGGTATCCCATATCATAGATGGTTATGGCTTACTCCGATTCATATCGGATGAAGGCGGGCATCCTGTGGCGGTTGCAACAGTGGATTCTGGACGAGCTGAGGATAGCTCGGCATTCAATCTCTATCAACAACAGGATAAGTTGTTGGCATCATTACTGCTTACCACTGTCAGTACTGAGGTTTTACCACATCTCACTAGTCTTACTTCTGCTAGTTCCATTTGGACCACTATTTCACGATTATTTGGTGCTCGATCAAGTGCCAAGGTGTCATCACTTATACACAGTCTTCATTCGCAACGAAAAGCTAGCCAAATGGTGAATGAGTTTTTGGCCAAGGTCAAGTCCATTTGTGATATGCTATGTGCTGCAGGCCGTCCGATTACTGAACATGAGCAAGTCAGTGTTATTCTTGATGGTCTGTCCATGGAGTTTGAATCGGTTATTGCAATTGCATCTCGTGATAATATCTCTTTAGATGTGCTTACTGAAATGCTACTTGACTGTGAAGCTCGTCATAAAGCATTTCTTACTGAAGGAATTTCAGCAAATCTAGTTTCTAGATCTACAGAAGGAAATAAGGTGCATGAATTGGAGCCTTCTGAAATCATTGTTGTGTCAAAACAAGATGGTGCTATGCGTGGTCATTCTAGTGGTCGTGGACGAGGTCGATTTGATAATTCAAATCGTCCTAAATGTCAGCTTTGTGGCAAATATGGTCACACAGCACACAAATGTTACCATCGTTTTGATAGAAACTTTACAGGTGTTGATTATGGCAATCGAAATAATGAAGGATGGAGGCCAGCACAAGTCTCAGCTGGAAATCAACAGTTCTCTTCAAATGCTAATGTGCTTAATCATGCAATGAGTGCTCCTTTTCCCTCCATGAGTGTATCGTTTTTGTCTCCTCTTGGATATTATTATTCTAATCCTAATTTTATGATACCTAGTCCAAGATCTTTTCATCAAAGGGTTCCCTGGTATACTTTAATGCCTACTTATGTTGGTGTTGATACAGTTAAAAGTTCACAATCATTCATGACTTCTCCAGCTGCCTTTGCCTCTACCACTTCGTTGCCTCGACCTGTTGTATCAACCAGTAATGCAAATCCAGTGTGGTATCCAGACACGGGAGCAACACATCATGTTGCAACTGATTCATCTCTGCTTAATACTGGTATGACCTACACAGGTAATCAGTGTCTTCATATGGGAAATGGGGAAGGTGTGAAAATATCCCACATTGGTCAAAGCTACTTGTCATCTAAAACAAAGCAGCTGATTTTGCAAAATGTTTTGCATGTGCCTGATGTTAAGAAAAATTTATTGTCTGTTTCTCAATTCACTCGAGATAATGATGTCTTTATTGAATTCCATCCACTTGAATGTTTTATGAAGGATGCTCGGACACAGAATGTACTGTTGAAAGGGAAGCTCACGGATGAAGGCTTAAATCAACTCTTATCTCCTATGAAGCAAATGCAACTGAATAATGTGTCAAAGTCTTGTGGCTTGTTAGACTTATGGCATAGAAGATTAGGGCACTCATCTGTTAATGTGGTAAAAACAGTAATGAAAACTTGTAATGTTTCATCTAATGAAAGTTCCTTATCTTCTGTTTGCAATGCTTGCTTACAAAGTAAGGCTCACAAGCTACCATTTACTAGCTCTCTCACTGAATACACTGCTCCTTTTCAACTGGTTGTCTCTGATGTATGGGGACCGGCACCAATTGTTTCTAGTGATGGTTATGCTTACTATGTGTCATTCATTGATGTATACAGCAGGTTTACTTGGCTTTACTTGATTAAAAGAAAGTCAAGTTATGCAATGCTTTATCAATTTTTACAAATTTATTGAGGTGCAATTTGGAATTAAGATTAAATGTTTGCAAAGTGATGGTGGATGAGAATATCAATCTCTAAAAGGTTGGTTTCTGACTAATGGCAAGGCACATCTGAGCAAAATGGCAAGGCTGAAAGGAAGCATCGCCATGTGGTTGAAATGGGGTTGGCACTACTATCTCAAGCTTCATTACCTTTGAAGTTTTGGAGTTATGCTTTCATATTAGCTGTGTATCTGATAAATCGATTACCTACAAAGGTGCTCCATGGAAAGTCTCCATTTCAGGTTTTACATCATCAACCTCCTGACTATTCTATGCTAAAAGTGTTTGGTTGCGCATGCTTTACTCTGGTGAGACCATTTAATCATCACAAGCTTGAGTATAGGTCCAAGCAATGCGTTTTTCTTGGATATAGTCCATCCCACAAAGGATATAGGTGTCTTGATGATGATGGGAGGATGTTTGTTTCGAAGCATGTTATTTTTGATGAAAACAAATTTCCCTATGATGCATGTAAGATGACAGGTCAGGAACATGTAAATTTATATGTTTCAACTTGGGAATTGCCAATTATTTTTGCTCCACAGGTTCAAACTCAGCAAGGAAGTGTTGATGCTATTTCACCTATGGTTGGTGTGCAAAATGAAGAAGCTTATGATAGTCAAAATGATGTTGAAACAAATAGTGAAGGAGAAATTCCAGTAGGGTCCAGTTCTGATCATGAAACGAATAGTGAATGAGCTAGACAAGCAGGGTCAAGTTCCACCACTGCTTCAATTGGCATAACATTACCACAAACAGATGTGACAGCTGGTTGTAGCTCTAACTTAAATACTCATCCTATGCAAACAAGGAGTAAGAGTGGTATATCGAAACCAAAGATTTTTCAAGCCACTGCTTGTATTGATGAAGACCCACATAGTATTAAGCAGGCTTTGGTCATTCCACATTGGAAGGTTGTTGTTCAAGAGGAGTATGAGGCTTTGCTGAAAAATAAAACATGGTCTCTAGTGTCATTGCCAAGTGACAGAAGGGCAGTACACTGCAAATGGTTGTTCAGAATCAAGAGGAATGCAGATGGCTCAATTGCTCGATATAAAGCAAGGTTGGTAGCCAAGGGGTTTCTTCAACAACCAGGTATTGACTTTCATGAAGTCTTTAGTCCTGTTGTCAAACCAGTAACTATTCGTGTCATCTTGACACTATCCCTGTCAAAAGGCTGGCAACTCAAGCAGGTTGATATAAATAATGCTTTTCTTAATGGAGTGCTAGCAGAAGAAGTCTACATGACTCAGCCTCCTGGTTTTGAGTTTGGTGATGCTAAGCTAGTTTGCAAGTTGCATAAAGCCATATATGGCTTAAAACAGGCACCACGAGCCTGGTTTGACAGTTTAAGAAACTACCTGGAATTTGAAGGCTTTGTGGTAGCCAAGTTAGACTCTTCTCTCTTTGTTCGAAAAAGTGAGAAGTGTTTACTATATGTACTTGTATATGTTGATAATATAATTCTCACTGGCAGTAATCCAAGTGAGGTGCAGGTTGTTATTGACAAATTGCATGCAAAGTTTGCTCTAAAGAATCTGGGCACTCTAAACTTCTTCTTAGGAATTGAAGTAAAGTATGAATCAGGAGGTGTTGTCTTATGCCATCAAAAGTACATTCATGAACTGTTACATCGAAATGGATTTGAAAGTGTTAATGGTCTTCCTACCCCTATGGTTACAAACTACAAACTTTCAGCTAAGGAAGGAAATCCAGTTGAGAAAGTCACTCAATTTCGCAGCATTGTTGGAGCTCTACGGTATGTTGTGATTACTCGTCCACATATAGCCTTTTTTGCCAATCGTGTGTGTCAATTTATGCAAGCTCCTCTTGACACTCATTTTTAGGTTGTGAAGCATATCTTGCGATACTTACAAGGGACAATTGACTTTGTTCTGCGTTTCTTGAGGTCGTCCAGACTTTCTTTGACAGGTTTTGCTGATGCAAGTTGGGGAGCAAATGTGGATGATAGACGCTCCACTTTTGGTTTCTGCATTTATTTTGGGGGCAATTTAGTTTCATGGAGCTCTCGAAAGCAACAGGTTGTGGCTCGATCAACAGCTGAAGCAGAATATCGAAGCATTGCATGTGCGGCTGCTGAAATGGTATGGATTGAATCTTTATTGAGTGAACTGCAAATTGTTCCTCATGGCAAACCTACTATATGGTGTGAGAATTCAAGTGCAGTAGCAGTATGTGCTAATCCTGTTCTGCACTCAAAATTTAAGCATGTGGAACTTGATCTCTTTTTCGTTCGAGAGATGATTGCAGCAGGAAAGTTACAAGTTCATGAAGTTCCTGCATATGAACAAGTTGCAGACATTTTAACAAAACCACTGTCTGCACCCTTGTTTGTAAAGCACATACAAAAGTTGCTGATTGTGCAAGTCAAATGAGGAGGTTGAGAAGTTTACAGGTTTGAAGTTGCAAGGAGAATGTTGTTGTTTATGATGAATTAGAAAGGTGCAGAGTAAAGTAGTAAGGGGAATGTTAGTGTATGATGTTAGTATGTGTGATGTATGCATGGATTAGTTATACATATGATCATGCATGTGCAATGTACGTGAGGTGGTTAGAGTTGTCTTAACAAACTCTCTCTCTCCTCTAATGTCCTAACGTTCTTTCCCTCTCATTTTATATTTCTTAATATGCTGTATAAATAGCCTGAGGCTATTGCTATAGAATTCAATGTTTTACAAATGAATGAAAGCAATAATTCATGGCTTTTATGTGTGTTGATTCCTGAGCTGTGTTGATACTTTAACAGTGAAAACTATATGACCAAGCATATGAAATTTATTCATTTTCCTTCGTATTTATGAGGATATATAGCATGATTAAAATCCAGGTTAGAATGAAAACTTCAAAGGGTTCAAGTGATGATGATCTTTAACTCCACCATATGAGATCATGCCCTTCCGCAGGGATGCATGAGTGCAGTCTTTCTCGCATCATTTTCTTTGTTTGAATGAGAAATTATGCACCCTACATGCACATAACTCGAATGAAGTAATTGTGTACTGTAAGTGCGTACCTAAAAACAGTGCTGAGGGTTTCCCTGGCCGTGATTTAAATTCCGGATGAAATTGAACTCCTACATAAAATGGATGACCTGGAAGCTCCAGAACCTGCAAAACAAGAGAGAATGAATGAACTTTGTCCCTTTTCAGTTCAGACTGGAAATTAAGAGTCTAAATCCCACTCTAATCCAACAGATGGCTTCACACAAACCAAGAAAAGCTTCAGAGATACGGAAAAATAATGTGAACTCACCTCCATTCTTTTCCCAGTTTCATCTTTCCCAACAGACTTCAGCCCCGCTTCTTCAAGAACCCGTCATATCTGGTTTCACCTGCAGCAAAGTCATGTAAGGAGGCAATATATCAGACCATTTAATATCATATAATTTACACTGATACGTCCACTTTTTTCTTCTCTTTCCCAGTTGAATCAACTTGATCAACCTCATATATATGCCGATGTCGTTCATCTACATATTGTGCATTGCAGTACGTAGCAAGAGTACAACGAATCACTAATTTGGGCAATAATCATATAGCATGTACCCTTAAAATATGACCTAGCCTTGTACCCTTGAAATATTTGGAGTTGCATACAACTTGTGATGAAGATCACACGACAGTATGACACAAAAAGGAAATAGATCATTTAAGAGTGTTCATTTTTTCTCCGCAGAAGCCGAGTATGAAGAATTTTTTTTGAATTAAATGAACTAAACAACATAAAATTTAGATGTAATACAATCAGGGGTCTGAAATAGTGTTCTTCGAGATCCTAATTTCATTGTGCGTCCCATATGTGTTCTTGATCCCTAACAAATCAAATATAAAATAATATCCTCCTGCAGCTTGTCGCACATGTGAGAAAAGTAAAATAAGAGATATGAAGCATATACTTCGGTATAAAACTGACGACGGGATTAAGTGTCTGCTGATCAAACTATGCACTGTTTGCCCTTTCACGTACATATCTGGCATACTCTATTACAGAGATCTGCATGCCCAAGCAAATGCCAAGATAAGGAAGATTATTTTCTCTAGCACATTTTGCAGCCAATATCATTCCACTTACACCACGATCCCCAAATCCACCAGGAATTAGGACACATTCAGCATTCTGCATATAACAATTTGGAAAAAAACTCGATTTCAGCAACACCCTTTCTATCCCAATTCAAATCGGAGTATGGTGCAGAACTAATAACTCATAAATAGAGAGGACAAGTACAAATTGGTTTAGGGACCAACACCTCCTTCCCCACTATATATCTAACTGTAAACTCTATGTATCAACTCTCCAGGAGCACCAATAACAATCTAGTTTTACCCTATTCCCAATCATAACTAATCTGTGAGAAAAATAAACCAAAAGCAGATGTTGGGTATAGGATCTGACCCTGCACAGAATAGAAACAATAGGGAAAACAATAAAAGGCTTACTCTTAAAGTTTTCCATGCAGCAGCATGAGCTTCTGGGATCTGGATGAGACAGACAAATGTTGAGATGACATAATCAAAAGTTTCTTTTTGTATTGTAATAGCAAAAGCACTACTGGTTCGATACCGATTCAGCAGAATCATCTTCAAGGTCTGAAGCAGCAATCCAGTAAATAGATGGCTTCAAAGAGCATGCGATGGATGCATGTAAAAGTGCCTAAAAGCGAAAGAAAATATATAGCAAGGTGAATTATACACAACAATGATTACCATCAGAGACATAAACCAACAAGCCACTAAACTTCAGTATTTAAATAACATATATCAATCAGATTCAGTGGAGACATGATTTTGCATCACTAACAAGGAATTTCCTAGTTTTTAATCAATCACAATATGATATGTCATTTACCAAAATGGTTTAGATTATGCAATATCACAAAGCAGAATTTGGACTGATGTAAACTGATCAATTTGCTAATCCCTCCAGCATATAAAACATTTTGGATTATTGTTAATGTTTTTACCATACACCTTAGGTTCAAAGGATGAAAAGACGGATAATATAACAACAACAATAATATACAGCAGCGGAAGATAGAACTCGTGATATTAAACTAGTATCAAACCTTCACAACAGATAAATATGAGTCTGCCAAACCTCAATTTCGAACTAGAAAATTAGAGCTAAACTAAAAATACGGACTGCATCAGTGAGATTATCAAAAGTTTCTGCCATCCTGGTCCAAGCTTCTAAATCCGAAGGCGAGGCAATGCTGAAACAGAACTTCAAAACAATTTAGTTAATGGATAAGACCCTTGCTTCGGTTAGCACCTTGATCCAAATTTAATGATGATTCTGGTAGTTAACAGCCTATCAATTTCAGTGTCAAGTTCCAGCTTAACAAATGATAAAATACAATCTTTTCCCAGTGCTAAAATCACAGATACAGAATTCATGGGAAAGACCAACAACGATCTAGTTAGGCTGCATACAGAATTATTGATTGCGTAGGCCTCATTGTGCATCAAAGAGTTAACCCCTAGATGGCTACATGTTAACATACTTAGTGGTCCAGTGGTTTAGAGGGAAAAAAGAAGGTGAATATGAGAAGTTTGGAAATATTGAAACAAAAACTAACATCAGTAAATCTAGTTGTTTCAGAATTGAACGATTAGCATTTTGGTTCTGAAGCAACATTCAATATATAGCAGAATTAAGAAAAGTACAAGTATGATATACTATAATACTAGGAATCCTGAAATTCCAAAGAGAGATAAAGCAACATTTAGTCCCTGAACTTGGCAACTTTTCCATTTTTTATTCCTTTTGATGATGTGCCGCTACGAGATTGTGCCATGTGACACAATACCAGAATGCCACATCATCTAAAAGATGAAAAATCCAACTTCATGAACTACTGTAAACTAAAAAGATGTTCAAGGACCAAGTTGGAAAAAGTTGCCAAGTTCAGGGGCAAATATTGCTTTATCCCTTCTAGAGAAATAGAAGAACTGCTACGAAACATACTCTTAGAAAGAGGAGAATATGCCAAATGTTAGGCACATCATGAACATTAAGGATGTTAGGAGCCTATGAGGGGCCACAAGGATGCATAATATTGTCAGTCAAATAAACCTAAACTAAAAGAACAAAAACAAAATCTAGCCAACAAATTTACCGGAACATGACAGAATTGTTGAAGTTTCTGTTTTGTATTATCCAATAAGGGCTGCAAGTCACCAACCAAAAGGAAATTATATACCATCAAGTTTGGGACAAAGGTTAGCTCAAGAAAGAACAAAAATAAAGCTGTCAAAAGTATATTCAGCAAGGTAAAATGAGAAGACACAAGTAAATTCAAGAGCCAAAGAAGAGAAATTGCAATTTTACAAGGAAACAGTAAAACAACACGACTGGCAAGCACAGTGCAGAGTTGAAATGACTAGTCCAACTATATTTCAGCGTTAAACGTTACAAAAGCACCATCAGATCAAAACGATATGTCACCCCAAAAAGATGATATAGTTAACCACCATGCACATAAGTGCAATTAAAGAGCCAGTTAACCAGAAAGATAAAATGCAATAATGCAGTTTACTGGATGATCCTGATGGAAAAAAATAATCTGTAGTTCTGCACCATGATTATGATAGTTCCTGCAAAGGCAGAGTACCTGAGCAGAGCGACAAGCGAGCAGATGAGGAGTCAAGCCTAAGGCTCTAAGTTCCCGCACACTATGCTGTGTAGGCTTAGTTTCTGCACCCACAAGAGAGGGACAGAATTATTTTCACCATCAAAGGAAGAAGTCTAATATTTTAGGGAGTTGGATTATTTCAGGTTTAAAATATGACTAAAAACAGAGCTCTAAAAGAGATTTACAAGTTATGTACAATGTTAAAAGAAAACTATCGAGTATTACTTGCTCCCCAACAGCACCCAAGACGAGTATTAGGCTGACATGAATGAGGCAGAAGTTTACTTGCCCTGAAGAAAAGAAAAATATTACAAATGAAGATTCATATCCGAAGATTCTGAATATTCTAATATGAAGTTTCTCAGAGCCATACGATAGATGCAAATCAAATTTTTTTTATTACCAGATTGATGATGAACAGGACGGTGAAGATACCAAACATTCAGAAACCTGATTAACTGTGTCTTTATGTTAATCAAGGTGTATGTGTGTAAACACACCACAAACCTAAAATGTATTTATAAATTTCTGGGATAAACGGAAAAAACTGCAGGCTTACCAGCTGAAAAAAAAATAGCTGTCGCAAAGCTTCGATGAATGGCATTGATTCAATGTCGCCTGAAGAACCCCCGCGCCCACACCAAAAAGCACATATAAATCAATCATCTCTCTGCTGAAATAAGTGAAACAAAGGAACGGAGAGAGTTCCAGACACATTAAAATGTCTGTTTTAAGCAGCATTCTGACCCACAGTGCCTCCCAATTCTATTTCACAGAAATCGCAGGACCCACTTTTCCGTCCACAGGAATGTGAGAAACTGACTGAATCCAATCCTTAATAGCATCCGTGATGAGCGGAACAACCTGCGATCCAATCAAAAAGAAAAAAAAATTGACAGGAATTTATCATTACATTATTTATGCCTGCCCGGCAAAAGAAGTTACGTGATTCAGTAATAAAAACAGTCACCTGAACAGTTTTTCCGAGATAATCACCTCTTCGTTCCTTCTCGAGGACGAACTGATAAGATAAAACAGCTGGGTTATTTTCAATCACAATTAATGTGAACACTGAAGAAATATATTAGCATCTATTTAGACTAAATGAAATACCTAATATATCTTTCCGGTGGTTATGTTATTCTCTTTGGTTAGAGTAACATCTAGGAAGCCTTCATAGTTACCTAAATCCAAATCGACCTTTTAAGAGCAAACACAAACAAAAACCGATATAAGTTAATATATTGCGGCGAAGCTTTTTCCACTCTTTTTGGCAAATACTGTTAGCACAAAATACTAAATGCTGGAGGGAAGATAGTAGAACCTCTCCACCGTCATCAAGAACAAAAACTTCCCCATGTTCAAAAGGAGAAATGGCCCAGCATCAATGTTCAGATAAGGATCTGTAAGGTACGAATGAAATGAAGAAGATTAACAAACAAAACCAAACATAATCCCGGTTTTTTTCTCTCAAATTGAAAGAGAATGATAAGCTAAAACAAAAGTAATAAAAAGGAAGTGGCAAAAAGAGAAGAACCAATTTTGATAGAAGTAACACGGAGGCCACAGTCTTTGAGGACGACGCCTATGCTGCTGGCAGTGACGCCCTTGCCCAGTCCGCTTACAACTCCTCCAGTAACCAGCACGTACTTCATTTTTGCTATCTCTGTAAAATTAGTATTAAAACTGAATGTTTGCAGGCGACGTGCCTGTTTAAATGTCCCTGAGCGAGCGTCAAAGCCTTGAAGCAACAGCGGAAATGACAAAGTCGCGCTTTTTGGCATCCATGGAAATATTGATGATTATTATAAATTACCACCATGAAATCATGTAGTAATTATTATAAAAAAAATTGTTCCAAATTAAAAAGTTCATTTTTGCAGAAGAGAAAACATCCTTGAATAAACTTGAAATCCCATTGGAATAAATAAAGATTAAATATAAGCATCTGAGTGAGTAGACACTTCTTTATGAGATGCTTAATGGTTTAGTAGTATGGATGTCAAATGCTTTGCACGTTAGATTATCCTTCCTTTTTAGGCCGAAAGCATAAACTTCCACGGGAGGGGAGGGGGGACCCCAATTTTTCTCTCACGGCCGTCGACGATTAACGCTTCTTAATCACCTTAACCTTTTCTGTTTTATTATTCTGCTTAGTGCCGAATTAGTCTTAATCAGCAATCTGTGCTATTATTCAGAATGAGAACTTGGTACATCGAAAAGGGCTATTTTAGACGTCCACTAATATAGTGACGTGAAAGCGAAAGATAAGGAGCAAAAGGCATATATAATCCCTAGTATTAATCTTGCATACATTTATTCTCACCCCCTTTCTATCTCGCCTCATATACAACTATATGAAAACTTTTGAAAATCCTGCTGGGTCAACCTTAATTTCTATCTTATTATGAGTTCAAAAACCTCCCAACGGCCTCATGTATCCGATCTCTAATATTACAACCAACTGTGTCATACAGGGACTTTGAAGTTGCATGGAACAATGAAAGAGCTGTGAATGCAGATCTCATCCCGATTACCAGAGAAATAAATGTCGCATGTTACAGCACAAGCTACAGTTTCTAGCTGTAGGTCACACCTTCTCCATTCACAACTTCACCGATGTGGTAAGCACCACTTGCATCTTCAAGTATTCTTTGAGATGCTTCCTTGCTCACAACGAGAACCATCCCGATGCCCATGTTAAACGTCCGCCTCATCTCAGCATCCTCGATGTTTCCAGCCTAAATACATATCAAACAAAAATAAACAAATACCGTTTATCAACCTAAAACCTTCGTTTCCAACTAGAAATATAAAACAAGGAAACCGATTCAATATTTTTCATGAAAAAACTTTCCACCTGTTGTATCCATTTGAACACAGGTGGCACATTCCAAGAATTGTTATAGATGACAGCACCAAGGGCTTTTGGGAACACTCGGGGTATGTTGTCGGTAAAACCACCACCAGTGATATGTGCTATCCCCTTCACCCCTCCCTTGCCAATTATATCTAACACCTGGATATGGAAAAGGGTTTTAGCTTGCAAATTTGTGCATAAGAAGATGAGACCAAAGTCATACTGTCAAACAAAGGTTGACTATAACCTGCTTAACATATATAACAGTTGGTGCCATTAATGCTTCTCCTAAGGTAACTGCTGCACCAGGAAGTTGATCCTTTAAAGAAAAACCACTACGAGCCAAAACTCTGCAAAAGATTTTTAAATAAATCAAAAGGATTCCATGCACTGAAACAAGATTTAAAAAAGAAAAACTACTATATCAAAGAACCACATAGATTGGACCATATCTAGCACAACACCACTGAAGATATTTTACAAATAGGACATTACATTACAAAGGCTGCTAACCTTCTAACGAGAGAGAAACCATTTGAATGGACTCCACTAGAATGTAGGCCAATTAGTACATCTCCAGCCACAATGCTTTTCCCATCTATAACTGAATCCTTTTTGACAATGCCTACTGCAAAGCCACTGAGATCATACTCACCTTTTGCATAAAAGTCTGGCATCTCTGCAGTCTGATATGCCAAGCAAAATACACTTAGTTGATCTAGGAAATTAAAAATGTTTGATGCAATTTCTAAATCTAAATATATATAAGACTTGAAAGGGCTTCAACAGTGTAGAGGCAAAATGCATTTTGCAGATATGATTCTCAACTCAAAGCAAATCTTAGGATTAAGAATATCAACCATTTGTGGTCCAAATTATTGCTATGAAGTATGAACATTATTCACATCATTATTAACTTAAAATGCAGTAATAGCTCTATCTAAGACAAAAACGTATTGTTAATTGCAACCATCCCTTGTAATTGCACATCAAGTAACAATTCTTCATATCAATATTCCCTCAGTATTTCACCCCATGAACCTATGTACTTTCAAATTCAACAGAAAATCATCCCATCCCATCCCACTCATTATATAATACATATGAACTAAAAATTAAATCATGTACCTCCCCACCCAACAGAGCACAGTCAGATTGTTGACAACCATCTACAATTCCTTTAATAACCTGAAAAACAAAATAAAATAAAAAACACATAATGGCGATTATTAATGACCGTTAACCATTTTGATTTACCCACTCAGTGTAAAGGAAGTAAGCAAAACAATTTGAACCTTTTCAGCAAGGTCAACATCAAGGTGACTTGTCGCAAAATAATCAAGGAAGAATAATGGCTTTGCTCCAGAAGTAACAATGTCATTGACACTCATTGCAACCTGATGCGCAAGTAAATGAGAATGAAAATATTATTGTATAGAGAAAATGCATATAACAAGGTTTGTTCCAAATTTACAAGATCAATCCCAATAGTTTCGTGGATTCCAGTCTCGAATGCTAGCTTGAGCTTGGTTCCCACACCATCAGTACCAGCAACAAGGTAAGAATCGCCTGTTCATCAGAGACAGGATATCAGTAAATTCAACAAACCGAGACTTGATTTTCCAAATGAACAATAAATGAAGACACGTTATATTAACAAGGTGAATTATACTAACGACAACCTCAATAAGGTTCAGGTGCTTGATAATTTCCCACCAATTGTACATAATTAAGAATTCAATAAAAAGTTACAAAAAAATCATAATATTGGATATTGAGACAGCAAATGGGAAAATAAGCCAACGAATAGGCTTAACAACTTCTTATACTCAACAAATAAGAAAGGTAAAGTAGTAACATTGTTTCGTGAAAATAATAGAAAAATTCGCATTAAAAAATAAATAAATTCCCTCATTACAAAAACTCAAATTGATGACAAATGAAACTATGTCATATTGAAAAGGTACAAAAAATGTCACCGAGGGGGAAAAGTCCGCCAAATCCACCAATTCCAGGAGCCATCTTAGCGATTCTTCTAACTAGCTCAGTTCCAGCATCAATATCAACACCGGCATCCTTATAAGTTAACCCACCTGACCCATCGGATTCCTTGGACATCGACCGCAAGCGGCTATTGCCAATGCTATTTCTTTCCAGCAAGGATAAAGAAAGAAGAGGAAACCTTTGCAAGCGGTTAGGTCGTACTGCCAGAGGAGGTTGAGCAACAATGGTGGTTTTATCGAAAAAAGGTCTCGAAACGCAGCGAGCTAGTTCAGCGTTTGCAGCCGCCACAGTGTTTGTCATGGGAAAGGATAGAAGAGAATCGAAAATGGCTTAATACCGTAGGAGGAAGAGACGGTAATTCGCACTACAAGAGGCAGAGTGCGAAAAGAGGGGTTTAGGGCAAATGCTCCTGTTTTTGCGCGGCTTCCTGGGTTTTGGCTAGCCGTTTCTTTTTTATTTATAATATATATAAATCTCAATAAAGGTTTTCATAAGGCCCAATAATTTGATTGGTAAGGGAGCCCATATTTGCTTAATAGTTAATACACCAGCCCCATTAACTTACCACACTACTTTAGAAGTGGTGTATATATATATATAAATAATAAATAATTTTATTTATTTTTATATTATATCTTTTTATTCTTGGAATTAAATTTAATATTATTTCTCAAATAATTATTTATTTAATTATTTTGTTGATCTATCTATATTATTAAGTCAGTTCTCATTTATTAATAGATACTCGCAATCATGAAAGATATATGATTCGATTGTGATAAGTTTAGTTTTATCAATATGTGTTATTGTTATATACATTTTTAAGTTAGTATTGAGGTTTATTTTTCACTCCTAATTGTAGTGTTTGTATATATGATTTTTTTAATTATTTGGTTAAATTTCAATTCTTTCTTAATGTAATTTTATTTTTTTATTTAATGATTAATATGTGTATTTTAATCATTTTTTAAAAAAAATTGATTGATATGATTTAATTTATTTTAATATTACAAATTATTATATTATTTTTTTAATTTTATTTAATGAAATCTATGATTATTACTACTGGAAAATAGAGATAAAAGGCTAAAGAATTGTCGGTGGATGTAATAATATAGCATCAGCAGTGAAGATATAAATAAATTGTTGTGAATAAACAGAAGCGAATTGTTAGTTGTGCCGTAAAAATATAATATTATCTTTTAAAATAAAATTATCATAATGTATTATTACCCGACACATTATTGTAAATGTTACATTGTCGTATTTGATTTGTTTAACAGTAATGTAATATTACAGTGTTTAATTAAAAGAATAAAAGATTATTCAAATGTAGATTTTTACCAAATTATCCTTGTTATAGTATTTTTTTTAACAACTTGAATTCTAAATATTCAGATGAAAAATATTTGTATAAAAGATCATAGAAAATATAGAGTTTTAGGCAAAAGGGCAACTTTTGCCCGTGTCTATGCTCAATTTATCATTTTTACCCTTATCATATTTTCACATCAATTTAACTCTCGAAGTTGCTCAATTGTATCATTTTATAACACTACCCCTAACTTAAACCCCTGAATTATAAACCTTAAACCATAACTCCATTATCTTTAAACCTTAAGGACTAACTTAGGGATTATAATTTAAGGTTTTAAGTTAAGAGAATGGCACAAAATGATGTAATTAAACAACTTTGATGACAAAATTGATGCGAAAATACGATAGGGACGTCAATGATAGATTTGGTATACTACAGGGGCAAAGATGACCCTTAAGCCATAATATTATTATTTTAAATTTATATATTTTTCTTTATAAAGTTTAAATTCATAAAAATAATATAATTTTTTACAAAATTTAAAAGATAAATGGGTTTAATGCGATTGTTTAATTTTATTTTAACTCCTGAACTTCATATAAAATTCTATTTGTGAACTTTTTTGTAAATCTAAAATAATTTAAAGATAAATTTATAATTTACCCTTCATATAAATTTTTTATTCAAAGATTCGGAGAATGATATTTTTGAAAAAAAAAATTGTTTTCAGGGCATTTTTGTCAAAACCCATGAGAAACAATAAATACTTAAGGAATCGGGGATTGACATTCCCAGTGAAACACCCCCAAAATACAACTATTAAAAATGATTTATTATCCCTTATTGAAAATTTTAGCAATCCAAACATAAATATTAATTACCAGAAAAAAAATTCCCCCATAATCATCTTTTCCCCCATCCAAACAGCTTCTACATAGTTTATTAATGAACTGTAATATAATTAATAAACAATGTTAAAAAATAAAATAAAAAATAACTATGAGAAGTGTGAGCCGAGTCTAATTTAGTAATGTAAATCATTTTTAATACTTTTTCAAAATTACTTATAAGAATAATATATACCTTTCGATAATTTAAGTGAACATTTAATAACTTATCGTAGTAGAGACTAAAATAAAAAATACAATATAGTTAGGGACTATTAGAATAATTTACCCCAAATTTTATTCTTTCATTTTTCTTTCTCATATTCGTAAAAGAATTATTGTTATTTCCTTTTTCATATTCATAAAAGAATTATTATTATTTTTTAAGGTTTTGAATTCGAACATTGTAAATGTGAAAAATATAAGCATTCAATATCAAATTATTGAGAGTTATATTTAAATAAATATTATATTATATTTATCACATATTTATATTTATTACATATTTATAAATGAGTATATTTAAAAGTTATATCAGAGCAATGGATATGACAAATATGACATTGAATATCCATAATTCCCTTTTACACTTACAACCTATGCTTATTATTTACGGATTCTTTTTGGATTATATTTAGATATCTGATTGCAATTTAAATTTAGATTCACATCCAACGAAAAGGATAAATGAGTAAAATTTTGAAATATATTTACAAATCTAAGTCAGTAATGGAAATATATATAGATTATAATTCATTTGCATCATAAAAATAAGAATTTTATGCCTTTTTATTATTATTAGATTAAGAGTTTTATATTTTTTTAATATTATTACATTGAGAGAAATTATATGCTCTCTCACATCTTTTTAATATAATTAGATTGAGAGAAATTATATATATATATATATATATATATATATATAGAGAGAGAGAGAGAGAGAGAGAGAGAGAGAGAGAGAGAGAGAGAATTGAACTTCTATTATTGTTGTTAGTCTTAAAAAGCAACCCATTACACAGAGCCTTCCTCCTCCTCGCTTCCTGCGCACTGTCTCCATTATTACGTGCCCCGCAAACTACTTCACCAGCTTCCCTCACATCTAAATCTTATCTAAGCCCTTTCTCTTTCTCTTTCTCAATATGGATTTAACCCAAAACCTTAACAATAATCATAGTACTGGAACTGGAACTGCGACTCACCTCTCTTCTTCTTACAATGATGGCGACCACACTGAAACGCCGCGTTTCAGTGAAGACTTTGGTTCAACCTGCTCCACTCCCTACGTTAGTGCAACATCGAGCCCCGGACGTGGCCCCTCCTCGGGATACTTCTTCAGTGCGCCGGCTAGTCCCATGCATTTCATATTGTCTCCTGCTCCTTCCCTAAACTCTCATTTTTCGTCCGAGTCCTCGTTAGTTTCGGCTCAATCGGATGCTTCGTCTCTCGAGTTCGAGTTCTCGTCTCGCTTCCCCAGTAATGGTTCTGTCACCGTTAGATCCTTGAGTTCTGCTGACGAGTTGTTCCTGAACGGCCAGATCAGGCCCATGAAGCTCTCCTCTCACTTGCAAAGACCCCAGAATCTAGCTCCTTTATTAGATCTAGACGTCGAGGAAGACGATGAAGATGGAAACAAGCAAGAAGCTTCACGAGGAAGGGATCTCAAGCTTCGAAGTAGATCACTTCATAGAAAGGCGAGATCTTTATCACCGCTTCGAAACCCAGATTTTCAATGGGAAGATGATGAAGAAGAAGAAGAAGATTGTAACAGAGAAGAACGGGAAGAAGTCAATAAGCTCATTTTGGAAGGATTGAAAGAAACCAACGTGTCAAAGGAAACGACACCGTCTTCCTCTGCATCTTCATCAAGATCATCTTCTTCGGGCAGAAACTCCAAAAAATGGATATTCCTGAAAGATCTTTTGTATAGAAGTAAAAGTGAAGGGAGAGCGAATGGGAAGGAAAAGTTCTGGACTTCCATTTCCTTTTCACCATCAAAAGAGAAAAAGATTCAAATGGAACAGGAAAAGCCTCCACCTTTGAAACGTAAGCAAAAGGAAAACAAACAAGGCTCGGGCAAGAAAGCGGATTCCGGGAAACCATCAAACGGGGTAGCAAAACGACGAGTCCCGCCGTCGCCGCACGAGTTGCACTACACCACAAACAGAGCTCAAGCCGAGGAAATGAAGAAGAGGACTTACTTGCCATACAGACAAGGATTATTCAGTTGCTTGAGCTTCAGTTCGAAAAGTTACGGTGCACTTAACGGCCTCGCCAGAAGCTTGAATACAGCCTCATCCAGGTAGTTCACGGTGGCCGGAGTGGATAAAAAAACAGGGTAATACTGTTTTATGTATAGTTTCTTAAATTATATAATACTGTTTTGTGTATTAATTTGATCTTTCAAAGGTAAGCCTATTGTACAAAGAAGCTATGTTATGTATTTTATCAACATTGTTAAAGCTTCTTTTCTTTGTGATTACGGGATTTTTAGGGGTAATCATTGTTGTAATAATCAAGCTCTGTTTGTTTCAGACTAGTGCATGAGACTCAGTGTTCATGGTCTGAAATGACTGTTGAACAAAGCGACATGTTTAGGGGTATTGTCTCCTTTTCGTAGGGTAGTGTTTGGGTTTACGTAAGTTGATCGATCTGTGTGTGGGGTATTCGGCATGGATTACGGTTCACCACTCCTTTCCAATGACATGATTTGTTTTTTCAGGTCGTTTTTTAAGAACTGTGCAAGTACTGTACCCATGGTATCAAAGGCGTGACCGACATGGATTACGTTCTTTTTTGTTTGTTGAGCTGTAAGCCTTTGTTATTATCTGGGAAATGAAATTTCATTAGACCCACATGGGGGAGAGGATACCTTGAGTGGTTAGGTAGTAAAGATATTGGCCCATTTTCAGTTGTGTTTGCCGGGGGGTTGAGGGTTAAATTATGCTTAAATAAAAAGTTTTAATTAGAGAATAAGTGTTTAAATTATATTATTTTTTTAAATGTGTCTAAATATTTTTTTATTCATTCAGGTAATTAACGTTATAAATATTGCCGCTTTAGGTAGGTAATTAACGTCATAAACATTGTCACTTTATGTGTTGTAATTGTGACGGTCGTTTTAAAACCAATTAAGTGACAAATAACTGAAAATTTTATTTAAAAAAAATAAGCATATTATTATATTAAAAAACTTAAAATCTTCTAAAATTATAAAAAAATCTAAAAAAATAACCTAAAATTCTTAAAATCTATTATAATAGTCTTTTTTTTTACTCCAATTGTAGGTCATCTTCAGCCATCCATCCTTTAGAGAATGATGAAGCGTACATACTTTAGAGAATGATGAAGCGTACGTTGCTGACCACCCTCTAACCGGTTATAACTATTACTATCATCTCAAAACCTAAAATTCTCGAACACCTACACTTCAATTCTTAACCCTTATCGATCATATGCGATATTTAATGGTTTCGTGTTTCATGAAAAGCGGTGTCTATGGGGATTCTTAACGTGGCATGACCTCGCTTTCTACCAAACCTGACATCCCTTATTTTGTAAAAAAAATCGAAACCATAAGTGAAGTGAAGTAATTGTATCTTTTGTATTTTATTTGTCCAAGTAATTAAATATATTTTTACAAGTTCGATTAACTAAATATAGAATTGGAGTTCAACTAACTCAAAAAAATTACAATAATTTTTTTAAACATTACATAATTTTTCATTTAAAGAAAAAAACACTAATAATGTCTATGTCCACCCGTAGCGCACTGTGATAAACGACAAGTCGAACGTGGATTTCTGTGAACTCTTTCCCTTTCCTCTTTCTCTCATTCTTCATCTTCATTATCATTATCATCATCATCATCGACATATGAAATTGGAGTACCACCACTGACACTAAAATCGAGAGCAAATAAATAGGGCCTGCGACTACGTTTGGTCAACAATATCGCCTCCGAAGTTTATTACCAATGGTGCATATTGAGATACTGGTGGTGGAACAGATACAGACAAAAATGAAGGATGATGTGTTTGTACAGGTACATGAAGAGTATACAATAGGCAAGCATAAAGGGACGAAACACATCGGTGAAAAACCTTCTGCCGGAGGCGATATATGCTAAAATAATGAATGACTCCCCATGTGATAAAATGTTAATTAAGTCGAGCGGGAGAATGTAGGTGGTTGCATCGGTGTCTAAAGCTCTGTTGTTAACTGTGCAAGTATTTATGTCATTCCCGATAACTAGGCGGGAGTGTGTTTTCTTCTTCTTGGGCATAATTCTCTTCCACTACCACCACATTGCGTCGATGGACAGATTGAGGGAGGCAAAAATATTCCTCTTGCTCACTCCTATTCGATTAGTATATGTGGCATCTTATATTTTTTTCATACCACATCATGTTGATAAGGGATGATAGCAGAGTGATGAATGTTGTTCTTAGTTGAAGAATCAAGCCTACGAGTCTAGACTCAATCAAAGAATGAGATGGAAGATGGATTAGATTATTGTCACAATCTAGGCTTTTGAATGAGGAAGAAAGTTGCTAGAAAATTAAGATAAGAACACAATATTAAGATTAAGATAATGAAGATAAATAAAGATTATGATTGAATAAACATATAAATACTTATTCAAAATTAAGGTTTGGTTGTAATGGGCGATAATGGTGATTTAACGATGATGATGATAATCGATAAGTAGTTGTCTTATGAACCCTTCTAATCACAATTGAACTCGATAATCGACTTTAACTAGCCCTCCTATTCGCAATGAGAAGGCAAACTGGAGGTGTGAAGATCTCTCTCACGAAGAACTTGAAAAAACTTACGATGAAGAATGGTTCAAAGGCACAAGGCAATCAATACTTGCAAAAATAAACTCTCGTTGTATTATTAATCAAAGAAATCTAATTTACAAAGTTGAATGAAGTCTCTTTTATATAGGAGATTAGTTTTAAAAGTCCTAAATAACTAATGTATAAAATAAACATGTTTTGGTTCTAATTCCTAACAAAATAATAAATCTAATCCTAAAAGATAATGCATCATTCTATCGTAGAATATATTACAAATAATCAATAAAAATATTGAAAATTCGTAATATTTACAAAATCATGTATTAATCACGTGTGAGAATTTTTATGTGCGTTGTCTTTACTAAAATAGACATATCTCGAGTTTCTGATATTGTATTGATACGATTCAAGAACCATTGGAAAGCTAAGAGACAGCCGGTCGTATCTCCAGAATAATGTCTACAAAATAACATCAAGATCTCATTCAAAAAGTAGTCTCAAGTCTACTATTATTCTGTTCTTTTTTTTTCCAATGCTTGGTCGTATGGATCAATTGGAAGAGTTAGTCCACATTAATTTGATATGAGCCTTGTGATACATGTATCACATGTAATCATATAAAACACTATGGTCAAAGATGGGTTGAGCAACGGATAGCCTATCGAATCTTCTCTCCCGCTCCATCACATACATTGCATGAAGATCTGCCCAATTAACATTTGTCTTCCCTTGTCGCATTAAGTGATGTAACTTGTCAAAATCTAGTGGATGTGGCGGAATCAGTTGGACACAGTTAAATTATCGAAGCATGCGATCGATAGGATATCACTCCATTATTTCATAAATGATCAGCGGGACTGTTAACATCCAAACATTCTCACCCGCCATTATGACATATAAAATACAGTCGTGTTTAGCATGATCAAGGTATGACGTCCATGGGAACTACACAAATTTTTTTTAACTAATTTTAATAAACTTGATTTAAAAAATAATTTTTTAATTAAAAAATGAAATAGATAAAAAAATATTATCTCATCTTTCATCTTATTGATTAACAGTCTATACTCTCGTTGAGTTCTTAGTAGGTGATGTTGAAAACATTTTGATGTTTCGATATAACAAATTAAGTTAAATGAATTTTTAGATTTTACAAATGATTTTCTAAAAGTATATTAGATTTAATTACTCGAATATCAAATTATTACTCCAAGTCTTTTAAGATCAAATTCAAACCCTACTAAATGTGTAAAATTGTGTTTTATACTTAATATATTTTTGAAACAATTTTCACAAAGTATTTTGAACCAAAATCAAACCTAAAATCAATTTTCTAGAGTGATTCACCGATGCACCAATCTATGCATCGATGCACCATGAATTAAAGTGAACATCGAATGCATTTCATGCATCGATGCACATACCATGCACCGATGCACTAAGGATGTTATCAAAACATCGAATGCATTCGATGCATCGATGCACCAGTCATGCATCGATGCACTCTGGCTATTTTGAAACATCGAATGCACTTGATGCATCGATGCACTCTTAGTGCACCGATGCACTAAAGGTCCAACGGTCAAAATATTTGAATTTTACACTGATGCACCATGGGTATGCATCGATGCACTGACTCTCCCAACTGTTTTAATTAATTGTTTTCACTCTTAAACGGCTCTTGTTCGCGTGTTGTGAGTACTATAAAATATACGCAAATAATGTGCAAGTATACACAATCGCTCAAGTAATATAATGATGAGTGAGTATCGTCTCCACAAGGATTGGGTGAAATCACAAAAGTCTAACCAAAGCAATGCAATATTCTATCTAAGTATAGTTAGTCTTGATATATACAAATGTCACGGCAATGGATATGTGTATGCTGGTGGATGCGGATTGATGGTGTGATGGTGTAGCAAATGGAAATGCAGTGGCAATGATGGATGTTTAATATTGAGTATGGTGAAATGTCAAGGCAATGAGAAATGGTAAAGATAGTAAATAAAAAGATAAATAAAATAAGAAGAAAATAATCCTCACGTGACGAGCTTCCAATGAAATGAATGGTAAGGATTGGTCTAAGGTTGCTAAACTTATTTCTCAAGTATATATAAGCTAATTGGTCTTTACTTACTCGACAGGGCTTTCCTAAAGTGTTCAAAAGAACCTAACAGAATAGGATGCCAAGGCATCTGCTCTCACTCAACGATGTTGGACAGCCTACCCTATTGATAAATACACCATTTTTAGTTGTTGAAATCCTATCCTAGTCTCTTCCGAGATCTAAGGGATTAAGTTATAATATTCCTAGGCCAGTTCAAAGCCCCTTGAAAATACTATAACCCATTGCTTATGAGGATCTTATCTTGCGTTTCTTTCGAATACTTACAAGTATTTTTAGCTTAGGATTCTTCCGAATACTTAACCTTCATCTAAGAGATGGACATTTTCATGCCTCTTACAAGCCTAGATGGTGAAGCATTCATAAGCAAAGCAAATAAAGAACCAAAATAAACTTAAATATACTATTGAAAATAAAGTTCAAACAACCATTCAACCAACCACCACCAAATAAGTTAGTTCATGGTGGGGTTCGAAATATCCAAACACAAAGTCATGAAAATATTCGTTCCAACAACCCACAAAATAATATAAAAATAGCAGCAAAAAGGGAAGTGAGAAGAAGCCTTCGACGCGCCACCGGAGGTCTCCTCTCGGCCACC